ATATTATTCTAACACAGTCCTTGGCAATGTTTCTAAATTCTTTTAAGAATTAGTCATTTCATCATCCCTCACTAGACTCAGCAAGGAGTAATAAAGAGGAAACTAGAAATTGATTCTGACATACATCTCGAGTATTTTGAATGTTGATTGGCAACATTCTGATCTTCTCTCTGAATGAGTAAAAAGAAAAGATGTAATGCTGATTCAGCCAAACCCACTGAAGGGCACATTGCCATAATGATTCATTTTGCCTTGGAGCAATCTTACACCCCTTGTGAAACAGGGTCTTTTGGCTGAAGAAAGAAAAAGAGAGTTGTCAGTCACTTCTTAAGCACCTCCCAATGAAAGTCTTATTGGAGCAAGTTTTAATACACTCTGAGTCTTCAAACTTTACTCTAGATTTGTTCGCCAGCTTATAACTCTGGAGGCCATATGTAACCCTTAGGATTCTCTGTGCAGTCTGTGTTATTATAATAATTTCACAGGTTTCAAATCTACCTTAGGGAAATTAAGATTAGTGTAATGATAACAGATGTTCTCAGTTTCCCTCTCTCCCACTTTGACCTCCCAGAATTACTACTGCTGGACAACATGTGAAGAAATGAGCTGCTGGGGTTTTGCTTTTATTTTTGCTTTTCCCTTCTCCCACAACACTTCAACCATCATTGGGATTTATATGTGTGCCTACCTTTCTTCTAGTTAGTGGATTAAAACCATATGAAAGCCTTAGACTACAAAAAAAAAAAAAAAAAAAATGAGGATGAGAAACCACTGCAATTTCATTGATCTCGAGAGGTTCTCAAGTTTTTAGTATGATTACTAATATCTTGGGGAGCTTGTTAAAATCCAGATCCTTAGATCCAACATCAGAAATTGCTTCTATTACTTTGTTGTGGAATCTAGGAATATGCATTTTTTATAAGCATCTTGCAAGTAATTCTGATACAACTGGGGCTTTGAGCAGTACAGACTAGTCTTCCTGTCTCTGTCGTGTTCTTTTGCTGTTTCCTTTGTTCCACAAAATATTTGAGATTGAATTAGACTGATTAGCAGGTAACCAGAAGTTCAGTATAAAATGAAATACCTTAGTAAACATGCAAAGTTCTGAACAAGGTTCTGGTAGGTCTTATTCTACTTAATACATCAGAGAGCCTACACACCTAATTAAAAGTATGGTATGAATGTTTAGTAGTTTCTATGAGATGCTTCCCTTCTTTTTAGAATATCTTAACCTAGTTATTGAATGCTTACTATAATTTTAACTATCCATATTTTAGAATATTTTCAAAGGTAAAGGCCTATTCTCCTCTTTGGGTTAAGGACACTAGTACAGAGACCAGGGAAAGATGTTTCTTTCATTGTCCTCTTATTCTCTAAAACATTGCTAAGTAACAATGCTCCCAGCCTTCTGTCCAAGATTAGATACTATACTGAGCTACCAATGTTGTTGTTAAGTGTTGCATGAGTTCCAACTCATAGCAACCTTATATAGGGTTTCCAAGGAGCAGCTGGTAGGTTTGAACCACCAACCCTGCAGTTCAAACTGAACTTGCTGTTCAGTGCTTGCCCTACAGTACCACACCAGGGCTTCAGTATGTTGTTGTTAAGTGCCATTGAGTCGGTTCCAACTTATAGTGACCCTGTATAGGGTTTCTGAGGAGATGCTGGTGAGTTTTAACCAAACCAACCTTGTGGTCAAGTGTTTATCCTACAGTACCCAGGAGAACCTCCTAATTGGCCGGTCTCAGTTGGAGTGTGTAGTAGGATTTGTTCATAGTCAAATTGCTATAGGTAGTTTGAGTTTCCACTTCAAGTGATATTGAGGGTAGAGAAAAATGGAGGTGTCAAGATGATTCCTAAATTTGGGGGTTTGTGAATAGGGTAGGAGACACTGGAAGAATAAAATTTTGGAGGTATGAAAGGTGAAGAATTTGTCTGGAGATATGTAAGTTTGCTGTACTAGAGAGACATGCAAGTAGAGGTGTCAAATAGACTGTTAGATTTCAGACCAGTAATTTTATGAATTTTATGAATATGGATATGCCCAAGAGATAGGCTGAGAGAAAAGTTCACCAGGACAATAATAATAGTGGAACAGAAGATACTTCTTGAAAGAAAGACCAACAGGAAAAATACAAAATAATGGCAGTCCTACTGACTACTACAAGAACAAGCAAGTTGCTCTCCCAGGAGACATCAAGGCTAGTGGCTGGTCCCCTCAGGGCAAACTCCCTTCCAAGACTAAGTCTGAATGGGAATACAGGAGCAAACATGCGCTCTGACTGGTGACCACATTGGTAACTGATAAGGGGAAGTAAGGGAAAAAGAGCAATGAAGCAGCTAGCTAAGCCCTACTACATTCAGTAGACTCCGCTGAAACCGGGTGGAGACCTGGTTAGCCAGCAGTATGGTAAGACCTGGGTACTCCTGGGCCCAGAGTCAGTGACATAGCCACAGAGGACTAGAGTAGAGAGTGACGCATCCAGCTGATAAGAAGAGGGCATATGCACAAGAACACCCACTTGCATATAATACCCATTTGACCTGGCTTCAATGGCTGGATGATTAGACCTCAACTAGAAGAAGAAAGAAGAGGAAAAAAAGAGTAATGTGATACAATTTGATGAACTTGACCTACACCTATGGATGCAGTAGCTCAAAGAGGGAACAAATCTTTACAGCGAGGATCATTTCTACCCTCTCGATACACAGGGTAAACAGGGGTGGGCAACTTGGACATTGGGTAGCCAAAATAGGGAGGCTACAAAGGCAAGAAGTGACTGGTTTACAAGCTTTCAAGAGGGAGCCTAGATCAAGAGGGCACGAGGAAAGTACAATCTCCACGGAAGGGAATCTAATCAGTCTGGTCAGGGCTGATGAAAGGAAATGGGGATGAAACTCATGTAGCAAAATAGTGAATAATTGCTATCAGGACTGACTATGAGGGTTGGAAATGTAAAGGTAGACATTTTGTAGCAAAACGAAAGGAGTGGTTGACTTTACAGTCCAGGAGCAGAGGTCCCTGGGACTATCAAGGGAGAAGAGTGGAGTGTGGGACCCTACCCAGAGAAGCAGTGATGCCAGAGATGGAGGCAGAGATGATGACGTGGAGAGAGGGAACGGCTGGGAACTGTAGACCAGAGAGGGAGAGGGGCTCGTGTGCTGACAACCAGGGGGAAGGCTTGCAGGGTATATACCCTTTGGTTGGTTGATGATGCATGGAGGGGATTGTAACCATGGCAATGAAACGATATACGATAGGATGAATGTAAAGGTAATGTTCTCCCATGTAAACTATCACATAATTCACAATAAAACATTTTCTAAAAGGGGGAAAAAAGATTAAAAAAAAAAAAAGACAATAATAGTGTTAATTTATAAATTGTGAGTGGTTTTTATTTTTGTTATATTTTGGTAAAGTTTGAATAATGACCATATTTATTTTTTTGATCAAACTAAAAGATTGCTGATATATTCATCATGACATAATACTAGTATAAAAGCTAAATGTATAACAATGATGCAGTCTAGTGCTTAACAGTGATAGAAGACTGGGTTAAAAAGTAAAAATGATATTAGAAAGCCTGCTTTATTGTTAGCAACCCTGTATAGGGTTTCCACAGAGCAGCTGGTAGGTTTGAACTGCTGACTTTGTGGTTTGCAGTTCAGTGCTGATTTTACAATGCCATTGTTGATGTTTGTTGTTAAGTGCCTTCGAGTTGATTCCAACCCATAGAGACCCTGTATAGGGTTTCTGAGGAATGGCTGGTGAGCTTGAACCACAAACCTTGTGGGTCAAACTGACTTTGCACATTAACCCACAACACCACACCAGGACTCCTTATCTTCACTCTCAGTAGCCGTGGTTGTACAATGGTTAAACACTCAGCTACTAACGATAAGGTTTGTGGTTGGCAACCATCAGTAGCACTACAGGAGAAAAGACGGTGAGGTCTGCTCCTAGAAAACCCTTTAGGGTTCTGCCCTATCATGTAGAATCATACAGAATTGCTGTGAGTTGGAATTAACTAAACAGTACACAACAATAAAACTAACTCCCCTTCTAGATTATGAGTTCCTTGAAAAGATTGTCGTATTCATCTATCTATTCCCCCAAAGTACCCAGTTGTGTCTTGTGTACAGTAACTATAAATTGAATACTTTTATGTGACAGATGAATAAATAAGGAAAAATTGTATCTAGTATTAATATCTGGAATGTTCACAAATCCCAAAAATGTAAATAGCATAGTGCAAAAACTCTGTGGAGTGAGTTCTGGTGTGGCACTGTGGGGTAAGCACTCCACAGCAAGGTCAGTTTGAACCACAAGGTCTATGGTTCAAACTCAACATCCACTCCTAGCAAATCTTAAACAGGGTTGACAGCACTTAACAACAACAACAATTCTATAGGGGCAACCTTAAAGTGTTTAACAGAACTAATTTATCAGTAATGACTCATAGATTTTCTTGAATTCAGTAGGAGGTAGGTTCCTATATACTGTTAATGTGGAAGAGAATTTAGTATGAAGTTGAATTGTGAATTTTTAACTATAGGATTTAAACCTTGATGCTATTGCCCACATAGAAACATGGAAACATTATATAACAATGATTTAAATTTGTTATCTTTGAATTTGAAGATTAAAGAGGGATTGGGAAGAAGAAGGGTGAGAAAAGAAGTTGTGTAGTAGAGCAGTACAGTGATGACAGCATTGTTCCCGTCGGGTAGCAGTTAAATTCCATCTCCTCAGATTCCTCTGTTATGACTGTCAAGAAAAAAAAAAAAAAAAAAGACGCTTTGAACTTTGATGACTTTTTAATTTAGGAGTATTATTACTTATTAAAACTGTTCAAGTGGGATGTTACAGATTTATGTGTATTTTTCCTCCTTCATGCTTTTATCTACATTTAAATTTTATTCAGTGAATACAGACAAATATTTTTAAAATAATTTTTGTAGCAGATCTTGCAACCTTGACTATCTCTATTTTATTTCAGTCTTGGCCTGACTATGAGGATATCTATAAAAAAGCAATTGAAGTTGCCACATTTTTAGATTTGCCTCGTTTTCCAGATGTAACTGAAGACTGCTATCTACATCCAAACATCTTATGTATGAAATACTTAATGGAAATCAACTTACCTGGTGGGTGGATAGTGTGTGTGTATATATGTATACATATATATAGTGAGAAAAGCTTTTATCTATCAGAATTATTGTAAGTAGATCACAGAATCTTTACAAAACACAGACTATGAAAACCAACTAATACTATGGAAGTATCATAGTAAATAAAAACTTAATTTCATATTTCTCTCTCAAAATAATTCAGAGCACATATAATTGTTAAAACTCTGTTAAAAGATGAAAAGGTCTTTTGTAGTGTATGGGGAGTCCTGGTGTATATATATTACTTTTTCTCCATTTGTGTGAAACATACTTATTATATAGTAAATTAGAATTTTAAAATACCACATAAGCTAAACTGTATGCATGTTTTTGGTTTTTGTTAACATACTATTTTTAATCCCTCAAACAAATGTAGATCAAAGTTTGATAGCATCACAGTAAGCTCTTTAAGACACTGAAGCACAGACTGTGAAAAGAGTTTCACTATGCTTAGTTCAAAATATACTAAGACATAGGTAACGCAGATGGAATCTGTTGATGTCATTCATTCCTGTATTTCTTGCCAAACTAGAAATGTGAGAAATTCAGGATTTTTATTCTTAAGAAAAAATATAAACACAATGTGACAATAATGTTGCATAATTAATGTAAAAATGTGACTTAATGTACTTATAAAAAGACAGAAATGTTTATGGTATGTTATATGATGAAAGCAATATACCAAATTATATATATACTATCATTTTGACTGTATAAATATTAAGTCTCTAGTGTTTAAATATTTTTTAAAACTGGAACAGAAATAATTTAACTCTTCAAATGTATCATCTATGAAGCTAAAGAATTTATGTCTTGTTCACTAGTTATTTGATTAAGAATCCAGAATTATACTTTTGGATTTTTAATATTTTCATTTACTTTTTTGTTGACTCTTTCAAAATATGAAAAATTCCTGTTTCTGTTATCTGTTTCAAAATCTTGTACTTAAAAAGAGAATACTAGGCTAGGAAGGAAATCAAGAATTAAAAAAACAAAAAAGAACTGAAGCAAGCTTCTACCTGAAATGATTGCCTTTGGACAGAGAGGTTAGCAGGATTTTTTGGCCAGTATGTATAGTTTTACTTGTTTAACTCTTCCTGGAAAAAAACAAGTAGACTTTAATCCATTGAAATGTGAAGGGAGACATTAGTGCCATTTGATATTTAATAAGTGCCTTTTTGGAGGCACTGTTATAAAGAGCAAGAATCCCTGGATGTTGCATGCAGTCATAAGTGTTCAGTTGTTAACTAGAAGGTTGGCCAGTTGAATCCACCCAGAGGTACAAGTCTTGGTGATATCCTTCAAAAGATCAGTCATCAAAAATCCTATGAAACAGTTTTACTCAAATGCATGGGGTTGCTGTGAGCTAAAATTGACTAGACAACCCTCCCCTTCTCCCCATATTATGTATTTCATTTCAGGATTGAGTCTCCTTAGTTTTTATGTAGTGTCCTCGCTACCTGTCTTGTACTTCTTTCCCATTTCTTTTTTAGTAATCTCTATTTTTATTATAGAAGGAAGTGGTTCAAGATGTTCATTTAAAAAGAAATAGACGGGAAGTTTTTCAAGCAATGGCATTCTTTATAGTAATGATAATTACATTATTTTGATTTTAAAATTATTTGAGGAGAGTATCACAACTTATATATAGCATATTTATAGTATTGTAACATCCGTACAAATAACAAAATTTTATTCAGTGTATCTTTAAATGACTTTTTTCTGTGTTTTAAGTATATATGTTTAAAGGCAAGATTCCTATTCATTTTGTTTTTCAGTTGTCTCCATTGTTAATACAATGTCTTATATGAGGAGACTTCAAAAAGTTCACAGAATGTTCTGTTATCTTTTAATTCCATTTTTCTATGAACTTTTTTGATCCCCTACCTCCACCCCCAGTATATGTTTGGCATTCAATAAATGCTTGTTGAGTTGAATCTAATTTTTATTTTGTATCTTTTAATCTTTTTATCCCTGAGTGAGGCCAGTGAATATATTTAGATGGTATCTGTAAATTGAAATCATCTTATTAGCAATAATAAATCTAAATTCTATATCAGACAAATTCCCTATCTCCAAGACTTTGATTTGATCCTGCCTACCTCTCTACATTTAACACTGAAGCCTTAGTGAACTACTTATGTTTTCCCAAAACATTATCCCATCTTTGTTATAGTCTTTATCAATTGCATTCACATTTTTTATATGTTACTAAACAGTGGACTTCTTGAGGAAAACTAGGTATTCAATAAATGTTTATTAAATGAATGAGTAAATGCCAAATGAAAATTTTAATTATTAGAATATAGTAACCAAACCCAACCCACTGCCACTGACTCAATTCTGACTCATAGTGACCCTATGTAGGGTTTCCAAGACAATTCATCTTTACGGGTGCAGGCAGCCACATCTTTCTCCCTCAGAGTGGCTGGTGGGTTTGAACCCTGACCTTAAGGTTAACCGCCCAATGCCTAACCCACAGTGCCATCAGAATAAACATAAAAATACTTTGAAGCCATATTTTGAGTTATTGTTATATATGTTCAATATCCTTGTGAAAAAGCTTTTGCTGGTAAAAATGTTTTACTCAAATATGAAATTCATTTTGTATTGCTTTAATTCTTCATCACAAGTATGTTGTAAGTACCAATTATGTGCAGGTGCTGATGAGGCTTTCTACTCCCGTAAAGATTTACACCCTCGGAAACCCTGTACAGGGTCGCTATGGGTCGGACCCGACTCGATGGCACTTAACAACAACAACAACAACAACTAGGGATTGTTGTTGTTGTTGTTAAGTGCTGTCAAGTTGGTTCCAACCCATAGCAACCCTGTATATGGTTTTCAAGGAGCAGTTGGTGAGCTTGAACCATCAACCTTGCATTCCAAACCAATTTTGCAGTCCAGCGCATTAACCCGCAGCATAACACCAGGTCTCCAACTAGGGATGTTGTTGTTGTTGAGTGCTGTCGAGTCGATTCCGACCTATAGCGACCCTGTTTTGGGTTTCCGAGGAGCAGCTGGTGAACTTGAACCGCCCACCTTGCAGTTCAAACGGCTTTGCAGTCCAGTGCGTTAACCCACAGCACCACACTAGGACTCCCCAACTGGGGATAGGAAGACAAAATAAGACTTATTAGTCTCTACCCTGAAGTTTTGGAGTCCTGGTATGAAGCTTAAAAGAACTTACTGGTATAAGATAAATATGCATAGACGAAGAGATTGTTATAACTGAGTTCTATAAAATCAATGAGAATCAGTCCAGCAAAGCCTAAGAACAAGAATAGGAAGAGAAATTGGTTTTCCTGCCTAAAAGGGCAAAAGTAGCTATGCAAAGGCAGAAGCAAGAGAGAACATGGTTTGTTTAGAAAACTAGCAACTATTTGGGTTGAGAGATAAAAGTTGAATAAGTTAATAAGAGCAGGGAAAAGATGATTGGACTTGCACATGGTAAGATAGAAGAAGGGAGACCTGTTGTGATGATGAACCAAATAGCAAATTAGTGGAGATAGAAGTAGATTAATTTGACATCAGTCAACGTGATAGCTAACATTTATTAAATGGTCATTATGTATCCCTGGTGGCACAACAGTTAAGCATTCCACTGCTAACTGACATGTTGGCACTTCTAAACCACCCAGCACCTCTACAGTAAAGACTTAGTGATCTGCTTCAGCTGTAAAGATTACAGCCAAGAAAACCCCACAGGGCAGTTCTACTCTGTACAATGGGGTTGCTGTTAAGTCAGGATCAACTTGATGGCACCCAACACCAATCACAATATGCCAGATACTAATGTAAATGTATTTAAGTATATTAATTCATGTGATCTTAATAATAACAATGAGATAGATCCTGTTATTCTCCTTTCATACAGATGAGAAAACTGAGACACAGAGGTCATGTGCTAGTAAGCAATGGAGCAAGGATTCTAATCCAGGAAATTTGATTTCAAAGTCTAATATTTTAACCACTAAACTGTAAACTATATACAGGGAATAGCATCAACAAGGTATTTTGACTGATTTAATGTAGGAGAGTCAATTCAATTCAGCACAAGTTTATTAAGGTCTTATAGTAATAACTATTTGAAATTAATTCAAATAGGAGATGGCACATCGTAGGTATTTAGAAAACCAAGTGAATGAAGTTGTTTAGTAGTGTAGAGATTTCAAAATATGCATATTTGTTTGCACTACTTTATTTAGTCTCATTTATTCTCACCATAAACATTTGATAAATGAAGAAACTGAGTTTTAAGCAACTGATGCCTAGTCATAAAGGATAATAATTAGAAAGCCTAAATATAGGTCTAGACTTTCTGGTTCCAAGTCCCACATTATTCATCCTTGAGTAATAGATGCAGTCCATGCTGAACTTCTAATTTCTTTGGGAAAGCAGTACATTAGTTAAGTACACATGGAGAGCCTCCAGTGTGCGAGCTATTGTACCAGCACCAAGTATTCATTCTCTAGAGAAACCCATGGTGTTAGAAGGGAATTAGCCTACACCAATTGCTGTAGAAACAGTCAAGAGAGTGATTAAACAATTTAAAACAAAAAACTGAGGAGTGACTATATTAATTATGTGCCAAGATGTGTTGTGTAAATAGTAGGTACTTGTTGTTATTAAGTGCCATCGAGTCAATTCTAACTGATAGTGACTATGTATGTGTGTGTGTGTGTGTGTGTGTGTGTGTGTGTGTGTGTAGAGTTTCTGAAGAGCAGTTGGTGGGTTTGAACCACCAACCTTGCACTTAGCAGTCCAGTGCTTACCCTACAACACCACCCTAGGAATTCAAATCAGAAAATATGCCTTACCAAGCGGCTACCAATATTAGTCTTTCTTATACAGATAAAAGTTTTTGTTTTACTTTTTCACAAAATGTGTTTCCAGATTCTAGTTTAACATCATGCTTTAAGATAAAGTTTTATGTGGTCTAGTTAACTAATTAATTTCATTCCTATTTTACTGTTTTGTTCTTCAACAGATGAAATGCACAATTTAACCTGTCAAGTGGTAAAAATAGCTGGAATAGGAGAAGCGGATTTTCTGACATTTGATCCTATAGCTAAAATGGCAAAAACTGTGAAATATGATGTACTGGCTGTAGCTATCATTATAATAGTATTGAAACTTCTCTTTTTATTGGATGACAATCTAGAATGGTAAGTGTATGCCTTAATTTTACGAGAAGTAACGGCTATTATACTGCTGTTAGTTTTTTTAAAAAAGGAAACTTAAAAAGAATTGCACTGCTTTTTCCTAATTGTTAGAAGTTAAGGAATTTAGTTCAGTAGAAAATGGAGATTCTTGGTTATAATAGAAAATTGACTAGTAGTAGCCATTACTTCTTATATAATACTTTGACTAATCTAGTTTATACTCACGGTGGCTCCATATAATAAGCACTGGACTGCAAACTACAAGGTCCGCAGTTCAAGCCCGCCAGCCACTCCACAGAAAAATAATGAGGCTTTCTTCTCTGCAAAGATTTAAAAACCTTGGAAACCTTATATAGTATCACTGTGAGTCAGATCCGACTTGAAGGCACTTAATAACAACAATAGTTTATACTATTTTACTCCTGTTTTTTAGGTAGACAAATATGTTTCTCATTGCTTCACTAACTCCTGAGATTTAAAATATCATATGTAAGCCCTAAGGAATCATTTAACACTTTATATGTCTGGGCTCTTGGCTGTTGTTGTTTAGTGCCGTTGAGTCCGTTTTGACTCATAACGACCCTGTATAGGCTTTCCAAGGAACAACTGGTGGGTTTGAATTGCCAACCTTATGCTTAACAGCCCAGTACTGATCCTAAAGTGTCACACCAGGACTACTATGTCTTTCATTGATTATTTTAGAAAGTAAAATAGTCTTGTAATACTACCCTCCTTAATGCCAACAAAGAATGGCGATACTCAGTGTCTTCTTTCCTATTTCAATGATTGATTCTTCATTGAAATTTGGTGTAAGTTTCAAGTACTGTTCTTTACTTCTCCTTCAGAAGAATTCAAATTTTAACTTCTCAAGTAAGGGATATCTAATTAGCTTGTTTGTTGTTATATGCAGGACTCTATCTAATCTTGCTGAAAAACATAATGAAGAAAACAAAGAAGGTACTACATTTTCTATTCCATTTCAATTGTTTATAAATGATAGATTAAGAGATGGAGTAAGTGTAGAGGGGAAACTTTGAGAAATATACATGTACGAATAGGGCTGTGAACTGCAAGTTCAGCAGTTTAAAACTACCAGCTGGTCTGAGAGAAAGATGAGGCTTTCTGCTCCCATAAAGGTATAGAGCCTTGGAAACCCTGTACAGAGTTGCTATGAGTCGGAACCAACTCCATGGCACATGACCACCACCAACAAACGTGTGCAAATTATATACCTTGTGCCTGGTACCTTGTATCAGGATTGTATTTTCATGTAATGGATCTCATTGCATCTTTGTTGTTGTTGTTAAGTACTGTCAAATCAATTCCAACCCATAGCGACCTTGTATAGAGTTTCTGAGGAGCAGCTGGTAAGCTTGAACCACTAACCTTGCAGCTCAAATGGCTTTGCAGTCTGGCACATTAACCCACAGCGCCACACCAGGACTCCATTGCATCTTTAGACTACTAAAAAAATCTTCATTGATTCCCTCTATATGTATAGTAAATAAGAACAGCTTTTTTATTCTCATCTCCTTCTCACTAGCGATACTAGACCATTATTTACTGCCAGTTTTTGTGACCTAATTTCTATTCTATGCCTTCATCCTATGCTTATGCTGGTCCATCTATCTAAAATGTTCTTTCTTACTTGTTCTCAATGCTTCCACCAATGATTGGTAAATTCCTCTTCATTCTTAACAATGCAGCATGAATATCACTTTTCTGCCCTCTTCATCACATTCACTCCTCATCCAACCTTTTTCCAATCAGAACAAATAACTCCTGCCACAATCATTCCTATACATATCTATCCATATTAGATGAGAAGCGTATCTACCATAGAATAAAGATTACAAATGTACAAAGTTGGAGTTGTCAAAAATGAAGTAGAATACATAAAGATCTATATGCTAGGCATTAGTAAGCCGAAATGGATGGCACATCCATTGTGAATTGTGAATCTGACAGTTGTATTGTTTACTATGCTGGGAATGACAAATTCAAGAGAAATCGTATAGCATTCATCATCAAAAAGAACATTTCAAGACCTATCTTGGAAAACAATGTTGTCTATGATAGGACAGTATCCATACACCTACAAGGAGGATCAGTTGCTAGCACTATTATTCAAGTTTATGCAGCAATCACTAAAACCAGTGATGATGAAATTGAAGAATTCAGCAACTTCTCCAGAGTCCTAGTATGGCACCATAGGATAAGCATTCGACCTCAAGATCGGTTCGAACTGCAAGGTTGGCGGTTCAGAATCAACACTTGCTCCCTGGAAAACCTATACAGGGTTGGCTATGAGTCAGAACTGACTCAATGGCACTTAACAACAACAACAACAAATCAAATTCTTTAGTCTGAAATTGATCAAACATGAAATCAGTTGCCTCATATGCATTTGAAAATGGGACAATGAATAAGGAAGACTGTAGAAGAATTAATGCATTTGAATTATGGTGTTGATGAAGAATATTGAAAGTACCATGGACTGCCAGAAGAACAAACAAATCTGTGTGGGAAGACATACAGCCAGAATGTTTCTTAAAAGCCAGCAGGGCGAGACTTAATCTCTTATACTTTGGGTGTATCATCAAAAGGGACCAGTCCCTGGAGATGGACATCATGTTGAGTAAAGTGAAGGATCAGTGAAAAAGAGGAAAACTCCCAAGTAGATGGATTGGCACAATGACAGCCACAGTGGGCTCAAGGGTAACAGTTGTGAGGATGGTGCAGGACCTGGCAGTGTTTTGTTCTGTTATAGTCTGAATCAACTCAATAGCACCTAAAAGCAGCAGTTTTCCACCTCCCCATATGGATTGAATAAAAAAATGAGGAGAGATTTATTATGCTTGATGACATTCACTTCTCTTGCCTCTCTAACTTCCATGTCTTGAACACACACAGATTCCAACTGTCTGACACATTCTACTTTTTTACCTATCTCCAGAATCAATGGATTAGTATTATGAAGAGCAGGATTAGGATTTAATGGAACTGGTAGTCTGGAGTCAGTACTATAGAACTGTTTCCATCAATAATTTGTTCCTATGTATTTATTAGACATATTGAAGCACTATCATATGCCAGGCACTAGGCGCTGGGTTTACGGGGTGACCTAATTTTTTAATAGTAAGCAAAATATGCCTTCTATTCTCAAGGACATTATAATGAAGTCTAGGGGACATAGACATGTAAATAGATTATTTCAGCATAATCTAATTAGGGCCATAGTGTAGGTAGGAACATAGAAGAGGAAGTAATGAAATGCTTGGGGGAATCATATCAGAGTATGGAGATAATTATTCCACTAATGATTTCCAAGAGCTCTTTGCTGTGCTATTGAATGCACAATATAATTTATTTATTTGGGAATATAATTTATTTAGTTACTAGTCATGGATTTTGTTTTGTTTTTCAGATAAGCCATGGTTTGATTTCCGGAAGTGGTACCATGTTGTGAAGAAAGCTGTTGATGAGAAAAAACAAAAATGGGAAGAATCTAGGGCCAAGTATGTTCTGTCTTCTAGTTTTATATTCACCTGCTTTTTTTTCCAAGTCTTTTACTTTGCATTTGAAAGTTGAAGTTACATCAGTATAAATTCATCAGCATTGTGACTTTTTTTCTAGAAATATTAGCTACACATGAACTAAACTCCAGATTTTATTTGGATATTACCAGTATTTCCATTAATGTCTTCTTCTAGGATCCAATCCAGGGTTGTTGTTGTGAAGTGCCGTTGAGTCTATTCTGACCCATAGCAACCCTGTATAGGGTTTCTGAGGAGTGGCTGGTGAGCTTGCACTGCTGACCTTACAGTTCAAATGGCTTTGCAGTCTGATGCATTAACCCAGAGCGCCACACCAGGACTTACCTACCCATTTAGTAATTAACTTTTTACAGTTTGCTTGAGTCTCACCTGCATTTCCAATGCTCCCACCTCTTGCCTTTTTATAATTGGTCTTTTCTATTTATGCTTCTTAGTATTACAGAGATTATAACTATCAGCCTGTGACATAAATAATTACAATGTTCTCCCAAAGTAAAGAACCCTGTGAAAACCAAAATAAAAGAAAGCAGACAGAGAATATATTTAATTCAGTATCATTGACTTTTGTTGAACTCTCATTTTGATATTGGTCCACTGTGGTAAAGCATAGTTTTAGATACAGACAGTGCTGGGTTTGAATCCTGATTGCATTCCAAACTAGCTGTGAGACTGAGACAACATCTCATATTGTGTAGGGTACATTACTGTTGCTTGCTGCTTTCTATTTTGAAACTATAAGTCTTTTAAGAACAGGTTAGTATCTCTATGTAAATTGTCAATTGTTGTTGTTGTTGTTGTTAAGTGCCATCGAGTCGGGTCCGACCCATAGCGACCCTGTACAGGGTTTCCGAGGGTGTAAATCTTTACGGGAGTAGAAAGCCTCATCTTTCTCCCGCGGAGCAACTGGTAGTTTCGAACCGCTGACCTTAAGGTTCGCAGCCCGATTAGTAGTAATTTAATCAGGTATTTTTACATATTTTGAGAAAAATCTAGGTTCTTTAAATTAGTTTAAATGATCATTTGTTCAACTTAGTTTCTTCCTCAGTAAAATAGGAATGATAATGTCTACTTATATATTCTTCTAAATAAGAACTAAGGAGCTCTGGTAGCGTAGTGGTTATGAATCGGGCTGCAAACCGCAAGGTCAGCAGTTCGAAACTACCAGCGGTTTCGCGGGAGAAAGATGAGGCATTCTGCTCCCATAAAGATTTACAGCCTCGGAAACCCTGTGCAGGGTCACTATGAGTCGGAACCGACTTCACAGTACTTAACAACAACAACAAAAATTAAGAACTAATTTTCAAATTCCAAAGGTAGAACTAGATTATTTTTTCTCTAAATTTAAGAACACTCTTAAATAGAGTAACAGACTCTTAGGGTGTATAAAGCACTGTTGGAAAGAGGATCTTTACTAAAAAGAGAAAGGAACCAGTTTCTCACTATTCAAGATTGGCCCACAGTGATAAAAGAGAAGATATGTGAGGAATGGTTCTTCAGTCAGTAAGTCTCAGTGGGTACAGTAGTGGCAACAAGAACAAAAAGTTGTTGTTATCTTAGGTTATATGGGCAAAGTGGCCATTGGGCCTTCATTTTTAGAGTGCCAGCTGGGATTAATCCTGACTAATATTGAGAGACCAGAGTATTAAAATGCCATGCTACTCAGGCACCCATTGGCCCAAATCAGACAGCTACCTGCATTTCAAGATAATTGTTGTTGTTAAGTTCCATCAAGTCAGTTCCAACTTATCACTACCCTCTATAGGGTTTTCGAGGAGAAGCTGCCGACCTTGTGATTCAAAGTCCAGTGCTGATCCTACAACGCCACACCAGAAGCCCTATAAGATACTAGATAATTATTAGAGCCCAAATTCATATTGCTGTGTTATAATTAATTGCACGTTGAAGACTTACTAATGTTTAGCTACCTTAAAGGAGAATTAAATAACCAAAAAAAGTAAGCCTAGTTATAAAATGGCATTTTCCAGGGGCCCAGCAGGCCCAAGGGAAGGAATTATCTAGGGAATCCATTACCAAGATCCTGCTTCACAGAGTATATGCTAAAACTAGTGCTTAGACACAAAGATCCAGTGCAGGCTGATTATATCTGTTCCAGTCTACTCCACCTTTATTTTTGACAGAAGTTCCTAATTTTTCTTCTGTGTGTCTAGATGCCATCTCCTTTGCTGTCAGATGACAGTCATTAAAGCAGTCCCTCTAGCTAAACATGAGACTTCTCTGTATCCGATTATAAAAGAAAAATTTCAACACTTACATTTGAAAACTTAAAACATCTTAAGAGGCTAATTTAATGACTTCCAGCTGTCATGGAAGATGTTTAGAAAAACATGGAGGGAAATTAAAAAATATATGCAGAAATGTTTTGTGGCCTTGAGTTAGGTAAATATTTCTTAGATATGGCACTGAAAGTATGATCTATAAAAAATTAAAAAAGATAAATTGGATCTTATCAAAATTAAGAACTTCTGCTCTTCAAAAAACACTGTTAATGGAACGAGAAGCCACAGACTGTGAGAAAAATTTCTTCAGATCACAAATCCAATATGAAATTTGTATGTGGACTATATAAAGAATGCAATAAGAAAGCAAACAATCCAGTTTTTAAAGTGGATGAAAAATTTGAAAAGATACTCCACCAAGGATATAGATAGATGGCAAATAATCATATTAAAAAGTTGTTCTACATCATTACCCAGTCTGTTTTTTAGAAAAGTTTTAGGTTTACAGAAAGAAATGAGCATAGACTATAGAGTTCCCATATGCTCCCTCTTCCTGCCCATAGCTTTCATGTTACTAACATCTCATGTTAATGTGGTATGTTTTTTATGAATGATGAGCCAATGTTGATACATTATTATTAACTAAAGATCATATTTTACCTTAGGGTTCACTCGGTGGTATACAATTTTGTGGGTTTTGATAAATATGTAATGTCATGTGACCATCATTATAGAATCTTAGAGATTAATCTCATTGCCCAAAAAATCCCATGTGTTTCACCTATCCATCCCACTCCTTCTATCCCACTGTATTTGTTTTTCACTATAAATTATGGAAGTCCTCTACTTTAACAACTAAAAAGCAGTAATGAAAATTAGTCTAAATGTGAATATTAAGTATTATCTTTGTTAAAGAGCAGTAGTACCAGTTGGCAACTACTAAATTCTAATTTTTGCTGGAATCTAGAAATGGAATATGTCACCTCCCTTTGATTTAGCCACTAGAAGATCCTCAGGTGACTCTTGGCCTATACGACCTTGAAGGGATCCACAGGACCAAATCAACCCAGGATTTCCATTTTATAGTGGCACCTCCTCCCTGACTGACAGTCTCTAGGCAAGAATCGTTTAGGACTATTAGAATCTTGTAATGCTAGAAACTAGATCTCTCTTCTTCATTCTCATCAAAAATTAGATAGATTTCCAGGGATTTGATTGGAAGACATTCATATAATTGTTGGTAAGAGTTACCAGAATCAAAAATACTTAGTCTTCAGCAAAAAGGCAATTGGTGGAGAGGCAATAAGGAATAATTGCTTCATAGGTGAATTCATAGGTGAATTTACTTTTTAACAATGAACAGCAATGCTGGTGACCACGTTCGTCTCCTGGTGAGTGGAAGAGTGAGAAAGGCCACAATGAAGATATGGGCCGAGTTTGACCATGTTCCATAGACTCCCGTCGACCTCGAGATGAGAGAGACAAAAGGAGGTTTGATTGGTCCAAAGTGTGGTGAGACCTGTGGACTCTGAGCCCATAAACTAAGGACATAGCCACAGAGGGCTAGAGTTGAAAGCGAAGTGCCCAGATGATGTGAAGTGAGGGGAGATGCACAAGAATGCCCAAACTTGTAGCTGCTACACATTTGACCTGACTCTGATCTCTTGATGATCAGAACTCTACCAGAGGAAGATAAAAGGGGAAAAAAAACAACCTTTTTAAAATTTTTTTGATAAAGGAAACAATTGTAAATTGCTACAATTTGATGAATTTGGCCTGTACTTATGGAGGAAATAGCTCAAAATACCAACTGAGAGGGAAGGAGTCTTCACATCCAACATCAATCCTATCCACTCTGTATACAAGGTTGATAGGGATGGGCAACTTAGACATTGGCTGCCTAAAATGGGAGGGGCTGTAAAGGCACAAAGTGACTAGCTTACACATTTTCAAAAGGGAGTTTAGTTTCAGAATGTGTGGGGCCAGGTAGACTCCCCACTGAATAGTTTTCATCTTGTCTAGATGAGTCTGGTGAAAGGAGATAGGGATGAGATTCTTATGATTCAGTAGTGAGTAATTGTTATCATGACTAATTATGACTGTCACAACTGTATAGGTAGAAATTTTGTAACAAAAATGGGGTAGTAGTTAATCTTACAGTCCAGGAACAGAGAACACTAAGATCATCAAAGGAGATGAGCATGAGCAGGATGTGGGACCCTATCCAGAGAAGCAGCAACAACAGAGATGGAGACAGCAGTGAGGGCATGGAGAGAGAGAGAGCAACTGAGGACTCTAGACTCATGCAAAGAGAAAGGCTGTGTGCTGGCAGCCAGGTGCTGGTAGCCAGGGGTTAGACTTGCAGAATGTGTCCTTTGGTTGTTTAAATGGTTATATATTCCTGAGTGTTTTTGTGTACATCCCCAAAAAACAAACAAACAAACAAAAACAGTGGGAATAGAAGCAAATATTGTTGAATGATGATGCACAGAGGAGAGTGTAATCATTGCAATGAAATGATGAGTATAAAACTGATGTTCCCTCATATAAACTAAACTAATCACTCAATTCACAATAAAAACTTTAAAAAAAAATATGAGCATCAAGGAAATTTTTCTTGTATAATAAATAGTTTCATCGGGATCATATGTCATTTGTTTGACTTTTGGGAGAGACACCACATTCTTTTGGTCTGCTTTCTTGTTCAGTGCTTCTTGCTTACTTCTACTCTTCCATATTTCTAGTCTTCAGTACTCCTTGCTTACTTCTAGCTCTGTTTACAAGGGGGCTTCAAAAAGCTTTTGGAAAAATGGAATTGAAAGACAATGGAATTTTTCCATAATTTTTTTTAATCCCCCTTGTACATGTGTCGATAGCTCATTCTAAGCCACAACTATTATACTTAATATCAGGAATTTCAAATATTGCTTCAGAGTAACTGTTCTCTGAAATGCATGTAAGTTCTTTTCTTCTTCACCCTGCTTCAACTTTTTTTCTATTTATATAGGTACCTATGGAAAAGTGAAAAGCCGCTCTACCGTTCATCCATTGACAAATCAGTAGTATATAAAAGAAGAGGTAAGTTGAATGATCTCTTGTTAATGTCGGGTAGGACTCCTGGTGTGGCATTGAAGGATCAGCACTGGACTGTGAACACAAGGTCAGCAGTTCAAACCCACCAGCAGCTCCTTGGAAACCCTATATAGGGTCGCTATGAGTTGCAGCTGAGTTGACGTCACTTAACAACAAAAAACAATACCAAGTAACAAACATTTGTAGAAAAGCTAAATATCCTGACTTGAAAAGTAAATATATGATTTTTTCTTGCTTCTTTAATAAACATTCCAGAGCTCATTTATATCAAGAAATTATCTCCTTCAAGGAGCCATCATATTCACCAAGAAATCTCCACAGGAATTCATATTTCTTTCATTTATGCAAAATAGAGCCTTAAGTTCTCCCCAAACTCTAAAATCTTCTTCCTGTGACTTTTGGAGCTCTTTGTTAGAAGAATTACCTTTACGTTGTCTTATATGTTATTTTAACTGTCTTCTGTGGCTGCAAATGTTCTCTTTTGTGGATATTACTCTTTTAATAACCAGAAGTTATTGAAGTCAAGGGTATTGAATAAAACTGATTGTACCAAGAAAGTAGTTTGTGTTCAAAAATGAATTGCTTCAAAATAGTTTTCTTGAAAGACTCCCAAAATGTTATAATGTCTTAATTAACTCAGAGTAAAATCTGTGTTCTGACAGTGACCTACAAGACCTACTCCCCTTACCACACGCCCGTTATGTTGAGCTCTCACGATTCCACATACATCCTCAGGCACACTCCTGCCTAGGGTCTGAACACTGGGTAAGGTGGAGGGTCAGAGAAAAAGAGGAAGACCCCCAACGAGATGGATCAGCCAGGTGGCATCATTGATGGCGTCAAGTGTGGCA